AGTTTTTCAATGGCTCCAAAGACGGCAGCAGCCTGTGCCTCGCCTGTTCCAGAAGGAAGCTTTGAAACTGTGAGTAACTGAGAGACTCCTTTTCCTGAAACCAATTCGGGCAGGCCATCAACTTTCTCTTTTCCAAGTAGATCAGGAATCAGTTTGCCGTCCCAGTGAACAACAAGAGGAACGTTATCCCGAAACTCGGCTTTTATATTTGCAGATCTCTGGACTCTGTGTTCCAATCTGTGTCAGCGAATTGATTCTCTGTTAAGAGCAAATTCATTGATATTCTGTCCTAAGTTTTTGGCAGTTTCTGCTATAACAAAAACAGCCTTGCGGTCTGACATTTTTGTTCGATCTAGAGCTGCAGCAAGTTCTGGAGTAACAACAGTTTTCGTCCCCTCTTTCTTTGAGGTGTCTGAAAAGTGGTGCCTCCAACAGCTCCCTCATCTGCTCATTTGCATTGTCACTAGTTTCAGTCTCTTCAACATCCTCTGCTGTACTGTTTTCAGATTCAGAACTAGATGATTTCAGTTCAGCTGTAGAAACGGCTAGCTGGTTCATTTGCTCCATTCACTATTGCCTGGCAAACATTTGCTCCCTTCTTTTGGAAGCCCTTTTTTCCTTAGCAGCAAGTGTTTCATTTACTCCAGCCATTGATTCCCTTCTTCCCTTTTTTCTCTGGGCTACTAAGAAATCCTTGTCTTCTTGTAAAACTTATGTATTGGTCAGGGCATTGGCGTGAGCGACATCAAAGAGATCGTCAAGTTTTAAAACAAAAGCCGACTCTCTCCCAATTTGATTTGTTGTTTCTCGCGCTTTGTTCTTCTTAAGAAGACGCCAATCTTCAAATGTCTGTTCAAGCTTCGTTTGGCAGTTCTGATGATCTCTCATCGGGATTCTAGCTTTTTGCCAAAACTTTGTTATTTCCGTGATGGTAACAGCAGATGATTGTCTTATAGTCTCCTTTAATTCGAAATGGTGATACAAGAAAAATCCAAGCGCCATACGTAATGATGGCAGCTTGCTGCCTGTTAATTCAGTAATAGTTTCACCAAGTAGATACAACTCAGTTTGAGATCTGGTTAATTTTGCCCGAGATGACATTTTCAATAATTCAGAATTGAATATTTATCTGAAATAAATATAAAAAATGCATTGGAAAAATTTGACCATTTGAAGTCAGAAATTTTAACATGTATTGTATGGTTTTTTTAATTATTTTTAAAAATATATTGTATATTACGTATAATTTATGTTCATTTATTTATCTCATCATCATCATCATCATCATCACATTCATCAGCATTATCAGTTTAACGTCCGTATTATAATATAGAATTAATTAATTATTAATATATTTACTATTTACAATTTTACACTCACAAGACAAAAAGAGTTAAGGTATTTTAATATATCAATCTTTTAATTTACCAATTGATGAGAATCAGGTACTGGAGAGAAGAAAGTCAACACCAAAATTATAGACATCTTCTTTAAATTTGAAAATCAAGAAAATTTATTTAAACAATATTTCAACTTAAATTGCCATTTATATTTTAATAACTAAAGCAATGCCTCTATTTAGTAAACAAAATAAACATACAGCTTTAACAGTGTTGCTTAGTCATCAACTCAGCATTGCAGTAAACAAGTCTGTCTAGCTAGTGATCCTGTCTGTCTGGGATTATGTTTTGATTTATGTAAAAATTACACAGTCAGCAAAAAATTGAATATGGGTTATTTCCATTTGCCATGATTGCATTGGTTGGTCAATGATCAAATATGATAGTATAGACCATAATTGTGGAGTATATGATGATTTAGGACAGTGCAATTTAGCATTGTAGTTAAAATTAAGTTCTTAATTTAACATGAGAATTATTCTGGTATAAGTAATAATATTATGTAAAAATCATGTGTAGCCAAACCGCAGCTGTCGAGTATCCGAAACTTTATCATCATTGAGCTACCTCTAAATATTGTTTAATTGATCTAATATTTTGCCTGAATTATTTTTTCATATATAGGAACACAATGAGAGGGTAAGAAGATCATATTTCAAAAGTTCAAAAATAAGCTTCACCCTAGTATATATATATATATATATATATATATATATATATATATATATATATATATATATATATATATATATATATATATATATATATATATATTATATATATATATATATATATATATATATATATATATATATATATATATATATATATATATTATTGTTACACACGTTATTGCGTTATGTTTAAAGATATTTTTTTGTAAAGTAGTATAAAAAAGAATTTGTGCTTGCTTCTTTAGTCCATGATATTGGTTGGTAGAAGGATTAACATAAAAATTTAGCAAATTTTAGCAACTGTATAATGTATCATAATGTTCAGTTTAAAGTTGTATTTTTCTGTTAGCTATTTTACATGAACAAATTTTGAATATATGAGTATTTTTTCTATTATATTTTCTACTATACTTTAACAGTTGAAAAAGTATAGTAGGGCAAGCAAAATGTACATTCGAGCTGTTTGGATAGAAATTACATAGAAATAGAGAGAGAAAATTCGATGGATAATATTTTGTACTGTCCATCATCATTAAATGTAATAAATTGTTTCAATGAAATGCATAAACCACAGTCTAACTAATACAGATTTAAGCTGCTCAAAATTATATGTCATAGAGATAATGTAACTTTTTTGTATATATTACTTTTTTTCCTTGTTTTTTTAACATGCTTTCATTCAGTATATGCTGTTTTCAGTGTTTAGATATATTCTTTGTTATATATTCTTTATTATATAATGTATTTAAAACATTTTTAAATTGAATGAATATTCTTAGATCATGAGTAATCTGATAAATTTGATTTTGCCACTACTAGTGATACTCAGATAGAATCAGTTTGCCACTACTAGTGATACTCAGATAGAATCAGTTTGCCACTACTAGTGATACTCAGATAGAATCAGTTTGCCACTACTAGTGATACTCAGATAGAATCAGTTTGCCACTACTAGTGATACTCAGATAGAATAAGTTTCAAAAAACGATAACTATTTTAAAAGATACTTATTTTAAGTATTATTACTTTTATTTTGATATTAATTTTTATAGAAGCCACTACCATGCTTATGCAAGAGAGAACATAATAACCAACAGAATAGTAAGCAAGTACCTACTCCTGTAACGCAAAAAAAGAAACAGAAAACAATTTTTATGCATACTCCACATACTGTAGCTCAAGGTATTATTTGTCTGTCTGCAAGTTGATTTAGGAAGAAAAGATTCTAAACATTTTTTTCTATGCTTCAGTGATTTACACATTTTATTGGTTGCCAATACATTTTATTTATTTTATGAGTAATGTTTTATTTTTTAAATGTTTTGTATTCAACGCTTTTTGAAATTAATTAATGTTTGGTTCTTCTGACTTATTGATATATCTTTATTGGTAGAAAGAGATGTTAGTAAAAACTCTTTCCAGTAATTAAAGTAATATCATGACAAATAGTTCTGAAATTCTATTAATAAACATGCAGCAGTAATTTAATGATTATGATAACAGTTTAAATGATTCTTGGTTGAAGTCTGGAGTGATAGGTTGTTTCAAACCATGACTTTTTGCAGTTTTTTTATTGTTTTTTGATTAAGTATTTAAT